AAAAAACAGTGAAAGAAAGGTAAGATAGCAACCAACAATGTCAAACATCACGGTCAGAGACAGAAAGAAGGACGTGAGATTCTTTATTGGGGTTGCTTCCTGACGGTGTTCGTGGGCGCAAGCTGCGCTGGCTGCACCTGCTTGTTTTTTTTTTTAAATACAGTCTGTCTTCTCCTCATATGGAGGACAGCTGTATTTAGTTACCCTATTTTCTTCTCTCAATGCCTTACCTTCCTTACTCTACCTACTTTTTGCCTACCTGCTCATCTCAGCGTGCGACCTATCCACCCAAGGAAACCCAGCACCACAACCCGAGACCACCAGGCACCAGACACCCCAAGCGCATATAGCAGGCCAAGAGACTATGGACTAGGGAAAGTAGCTGACAACCTACTCTATGCCTAATAATTGGAGACAATAACCGCTTCTAAATACCCTCACCTAAGCTAAGCTAAGCTATCCTACGGTTATGGGTCTATGTCTACCACCCTCTGCTCAGTGCGGGGAGCAGTACTTAGGCTGCTAACACCTGGCGTAGGCCGGAACAACGTTCCGTAACCAGCCAGGAGGCCCAAAGCCGACAATCTCTGCTGATGAAATCCAATAGTTGATGACTTGATGTATGATCTCACAATGCAAGATTATCTGTGCTGATTATCTAGCCTGTTGCAATCTGGTCAGGTTGAAGCTCTGCATGCTCAGAGAAAGGACATTGAGAAACAACTAGGTGCACTGAAGGAGGGAGCTGTCGCAAATCCGGCAGAGCTTGCCCGTATTGCAGAACTGAAAGAGACCATAGCTGGAGAGCAACAACAACTTCAAAAAGTCCAAAAAGACTCAGAGAAGCTGAGGAAGCAGGTGAGTTCCCAATGACAATGCCGCCAACAGCGAGCTTCAGGTATGAGAAAAAGAAGATATGTGCAATAATTATACTATAGTAATAACAATGTTGTTGTCACATATATATCAACGAGTGCACTTTGTGCAAAACAAATGGAAAAAAAAAGCAGACAACATGAAGCACACTGAAACCCTTTTTTTGCCTTTTCCTGTGCATCTTCTCCTTCTCCTTCTTCCTCCTCCTCCTCCTCCTCCTCCTCCTCCTCCGCCGCCGCCGCCGCCTCCTCCTTCTTTTTCTTCTTCTTCTTCTTCTTCTTCTTCTTCTTCTTCATCGTCATTGTCTTCTTCGTCGCCTCCGTCTTCTCCGTCTTCTTTGACTTTCTTCTTTGACTTCTTCTTCTTCGTCGTCTTCTGCTCCCTTGTCTTCTCTTCTGTTCTTGTCATTGTCTTCTTCGTCGCCTCTGTCTTCTCCGCCTTCTTCGTCTTCTTCTTTGTCTTCTGCTCCCTTGTCTTCTTTTCTCTTCTTGTCTTATCTCGTTCCATCTCCTCTTTTAATTGTGATTCTCTCAAAGTTTAGTTTTGAATCAAGAATTGGGCAGGATCATAACAGATATTTGATATGGTTGAATTGCAGTCATGCATTTCCCAACCGATATGCGGCTTTTTGTCAATGTCCGAGTGCTTCGACTTGTGCTGACATTTCCCTCCGGTTTGCTGCGTCTGCAAATCTCAATGATGACATGATGAGTGCAGATCGCTGACTTACAGAAGAAGATCGATGAGACAGGGAAAGACAAATTAAAGAAGCAGAAGGCATCAGTAACCAAGCTTCAGCAGGTGATGATTTCTTTCTCCTTCGGATTGACTTCGTTGATCGAGAAGGCTCTCTACTTTCTTTTCTCCTTATTCCACCCCTTCCCCCACCAGCCCCCCGTTCCGCGCTTTCTTTTTGGCTTTAGTCGTCTGCTTTTCAGATTTGTGAACAAAGCCAGGTTCCAACTCCATGGTTGGGACCACCACCCATAAGTGTGTTATCAGCAGAAAGACAACAGCATAAAACAGTATAATGAAAACGAAGGCGAAAGAATAGTACGCCAAATTTTCGCCAATTGATCTGGTCTCGCAGCTGATACAATTGAATAACTTTTAGAAAAAAAAAGCCTCTAATGTCGTTGGGAATCTTGTGATGGTGCCTTAGACTTTTGAGATCTATAGTCTGAAGCTTGAAGTGGTATCGAAAAGTTGGGGGTGGAGAGGGGAAGGGAATGGAGCCTGTGTTTTCTATAACGGCCTTCAGAAAGGCGAAGAAGGACCCCGCACTTTTCCTCCCTGATCTCTATGAACCCCTTCAGGCAACTGTAGTTGAAGCCTTGAAGGTGGAGCTTGAAGCTAACCATAATAGCCATGGATGAACTCAGCTTCCTGAGCCTCCATGCAGCGCATTCTTGTATAGCAGCTCCATAAGTGTGACGGTAGGACCGCTAGCTCCTTGCCCCGAATAGAATGTACCGTCATTATAGCTGTATTTTGGGCAACTTTCAGTCTAGATACAGTGATAATAATGACCATACATTCTATTCAGGGAAAGATGGCAGGTTGCCGATTCACAAGTCTGTCCTTTTGGAATTAAATTCCATCACCCCACTGTGACATCAGATAGCCCGACAGCGACCTAGTTAGATTGGCGTACAAGGACCTAGACATAGTCCACAGTACCTGGCCTTGAACAACCAAATGCTATTGGTCTTCCTCTTGGGGACTTACTTGTACATAGAGGCTTCTAGGGACAGGTTGGACAAGGCTATCTATAACCACCTATGCTGGACTGGCATTAGACGAAGGGTCTATCAATAGCCGCCCACTGCACAGGCAGGACAAGCCTATCTATCGCTGCCTCCACACCTATGCTGGACTGGCATTAGACGAAGAGTCTATTTATAGCCGCCCACTGGACAGGCAGGACAAGTCTATCATGTATAAAGTGCAGTAGGCAGCTATAGCAGGCCTATTCATAGCCACCTACTGTGACCCAGCATGTGAGTAGCACATGGGAAGTGCGCATAGGCATGACAAGCATATCTACGGCTACATACTGGACTGGTACTTATAGCAATAACCCTGTAGCGCGCTGTAGGAGGCCTGAAAGCTAAGGTCGATGGGCTACCTATAGTCTGAATCCAGATCACACGCCTGTGTCACAAGATTTAGAAAGAAGTATGCCCCTCTGCGTCTGCCAGAGTCAGTCTTAATGCTCAAATCAATCTTTTCTTGATTGTGGTCCAATACATCTCAGAAAATCCTAGTTTGGGTGTGCCCTTTGTCATCTCTTCTCCTTTTTCCCTCTGTTTTTCCCAAAGTGTTTTCGGTAGTCTCTTTTGCTGTCTTCATTCCATGTTTCATACTTGAGATTTAAGGTTTCTGCTATGTACTGTCAACTTGTTATCCAGGGAATTGATGGGAATACAAGTGATATTAACAAGCGAAAGGTCCAGATTACGATGAACAAGAAGGCGCTTCAGAAAACAGCCAAGGCAATTACTGACGGGGAGAAGGAGGCAGCAACACTGGCTGACGAACTGCAGGAGATGACAGCGGGGTTTAAGGAGATAGAGAAGAATGCCTTTGTAGTACACGAAAAGCTCGCAGGTTTAACGGAGGTGAGTAGTTCCTGCTTTTTTATGTTTTCTTTTTTTTTTTGGTCTGGACATTT